GTGACTTGGTTATTGGGCAGGTATTTACACCCCCCACCCCCACCCCCCCACTGCAACATACAACTCCCGCACCCTTTAAAAAATGAGAATGGAATTGATTCAGAAATGTTTTTATTAAAATTAAACCAAACTCTAATATACAAAGTAAGAATAAGGAAAAACAAAAAATATGGAAAAAAATGAAGGAATGTGCAATTATAATGGTGCAATTAAATTAAAAGCATTACTAAAACAAACACATGCACCAGTGCTTGTTAGAGGTCCAAAAATGATGTCCTTCTGGCTCAGTTTCATCAACTCTTACACTCTGACGGTGTGTATTATAAGCTCTGTTTCATTTACAAAGCTTCTTCCGGCTCTTTCAAACCAGAAACTCACAAAGACGAAGTAGACCGCTTTAGATTTTATAAAAAATAACCGTACTGGTTTATTCAGAGGATCACAGGTAAAATTAACATTACACGTCCAGATCTCTCCCACCACCAACCTGCGCGCAGGCAGCTTGGAAGATGCAAGACCCTGGACCATGAAACCTATATAATTTTAATCATTTTGGGCTAGCCCATGCTACGCAGGGGCGTCAAACCGTGACGTCACCTGATATGCCAGCTTGCAGCTGACCATAACGTTAGCCAAAACATGAGGAAAAGTCAAGGTGTGTGGCTGTTGATTTGTGGTGTGTATCTAGAACAATTTGACATGACATTACACATTAAGACAAATATTAAGATTAGCATTACAGTTAATACTAACAGCTCTTTGCCTGTAACCTTGGCCTACATGCAGTCTGCACTGCAAGCACATGAAATTAAACTGAGCAGTTACCAGCCTGAGCTAGACATCCTGTCTCCACTAAACATTTCTAGACAACAAATCTCTGAATATCTATCTAACTAAGAAATAACCTAACATTCTTATACTATAAGGTGTTTGATAACATTGATCACAATTTATTTTCTCTATCCTTGAAGCATCTGAATTTGGGTCTTACTTCTGCAAATGTATTGAAACATTGTATTCTAAAGCAAACGGATTGTACAGTATATCTGTTTCTACTAGCAGGTCAACTTGTATCTTGCTACATCCAAAGCAGCTAAAAGGCATTTCTATAGCCAGTAGAGTAATCAAGATCAATCAGGTAGCAGATAATATCACACTGTTCCTTAGAGATGCCTCTCAAATACCTATAGCCTTAAATATTCTTGAGCCATTCTCTAAAGCTTCAGGTGTGTCTTTCTATTTTTGTCCTCCCCAGCTACACACATGAGAGGGACAGAATATTAGCAACACTTTTGAATATGTGTTCTTCCCACTGCTGTTTTGCCTTTACACAAACAACTGCATCTCGAAGGAGCCAACACAACAGTCATTGGTCTCATCCGAAGCAGTGACAAGCAGGCCTACAGATGGGAGGTTGAACAGCTGGCCCTGTGGTGTGGTCCCAGCAACCTGGAGCTGAACATATATAAAACATTGGAGATGACAGTGGAATTTAGGAAGAGCTCTTAAATATTCTTGAGCCATTCTCTAAAGCTTCAGGTCTCTGTCTTAATTTTAAAAAATGTGAGCTTTTGGCTATCAAAAACTGTGAATTAAATGCAATTTGTAACATCCCTATCAAAGATAAGATCTCCTACTTAGGTGTTATTATTTCCAGGGATCTGTGCTCTAGATGCAGTGACAACTTTAAACCCATAATTGAAAAAACACAGAAAAAATTAAATATGTGGCTCCAAAGAGATTTGTCACTGAAAGGCAGAACTCTCTTAGCCAAAGCTAAAGGTTTATCAAGACTTACATATGCTGCACTTCAGGAGACCCCCCTTTTAAACTCCTAAAGTGTGCAGATGATACAACGGTCATCAGTCTCATCCGAGATGGTGATGAGTCGGCCTACAGATGGGAAGTTGAACAACTGGCCCCGTTCTGTGGTTGCAACAGCCTGGAGCTGAACATGCTCAATACAATGGAGATGACAGTGGAATTTAGGAAGAGCTCCCTCACCATACTTGGCAACACTGTATTAGTAGTAGAGTCCTACAAGTTCCTGGGCTCCACTGTCTCCCAGGACCTGAAGTGGACATCCAATATCAGCAGTGCGCCAATATCCTTCTCCAGCTCAGGAAGCTCAACCGGCCCCGGGAGCTACTAATACAGTTCTACAGAGGAATCATCGAGTTTTGTTCTCTGCTCATCTATCACTGTCTGGTTTGGCTCAGCAACCAAACAGGACAAGAAGAGACTTAAGCGGACAGTCAGGACTGCAGGAAAAATCATTGGTGCAAGCCTGCCCTCCATGGAGGACCTGTACACCTCACAGGTCAAAAGGAGGGCAAAGAAGAATACTGCAGACGCCTCACACCCTGGACACAAACCCTTTGAACTCTTCCCCTCTGGACGGTGTTACAGGTCACTGTTGCTTTTAAAGTGCTATATAAATAAATTTGATTTGATTGATTTGATATGATGTAGTTTCAGAGACAGTTCAGGAGGAGCAAAGAGGAGCGGAGGGAGAAGAGCAGGGGATACTGCTCGAATTTGTTTTGACTCTCGCTTCACCCTTCTCGGTAAAAGAATTGGAGGGAGAAGTTAGTTAATGCAGCTTTAGCTCAACTTCAGTTGACCAGAGTCCAATTTGAAAGCAACACCACGTGAGAGCTAATCCTCTCTTGTGCAGCCGTGCTGCCCACGTTACATAGAGCAGGCAGTGTTTTGTAATAATCTCTTTCACCCCACCTCTCCACAATGCCCTGGAGATTTTAGATAAAAGGAGCATTTTGCAATACTGATCCCCAATTTCTCTTTTGTTCAGACTTTTTATTATCTGTTAATGCTGTGAGCAGGAAGACTGCTTACTACAATCAAGTGCAGGTTTTCTTCATCTCAGAAAATGGGTATTGACTCTGGAGTTAATATTTCAGATGATGTTGTACCTTATGGGGGGAAAAGTGCCTTTACCCAACTGGAGCACAACATAGTGGCTGGATATCTTATTACTGCAGGTAACAAACAATAGATAAGCAATGGCATTATAAATAGATACATTTCATTGTGACTGTGATGAATAATGTGAGTATTTTGTTGTTTCAATGGTATCTGTCAATACTGTCTTCTTATATAGAACTTTGTACAGTCAAATAAAATCAGTCCCAGTGGTAAGTGACATTTCAAAAGAGGCTGCTTTGAGGCATTGTTATAATATACACTGAACACGGCTCACAAATTTCAAAGTAAAAATACAAAGCTGGGAGGAGCTGAGAGGACGATTATCAATTTTATATGTAATATTGGCTGTATACAAATTAAGAACATTCATCTATTAAGAGTCCTGTTTTAATAAATAACAAATAATAATTGGTAAAATGACAGAAATAAGAAATGAATGTGCATGTCATTCATTAAAAAAGGGCTAAACTAAATGATATCCACATCAAAATATTTGAGATTTACACATACTAACTGAAGTTTAATAATAATAAGTGTAACTACGTTTACTCTTAGATGAAAGTGTTTCAGCTGCCTCTGACTGCTGTTTTCTGACTGTACTGGCCTGCTCCCCAGTTGGTGCAGTTTCCTCTGCACTGTAAAACACGTTGTTTATCTTCCACATCTTAATCAGATTGTGTAAATGATGGAGCATTTGAAGCAGGAGGGGATGTCACACAGTTCCAGTGATCTGTTGAAGAGAAATATGAAGATGAAGGCCAGCTGTTCAGCACAAGATTGTTGAGCTGATCTTTAGATTTTTTAAAAGGCCACACACACATCCTTTTCACAGATTTTACAATAAAACACATTGACCTCATCTTCGCCTTCACATTCACCTTCCACCACTAGGGGGTGGTGCCCTGTAGCCAGTGATGTTTTCCGGTTTCGCCACACAGATGAAGAATCATTCGCCGAAACCTGGCTTTTCAAAGTAGCTCCTCTTTGCTAATGTGATCTTCCTTGTCAGTGTATTCCTGGCCTGCCTGTACAGGATCCTGTCCCTACATTTTTTTTTATTCTTAGAAAGGATAAAATTAAAACAAGTTACCCTAACTACCTTGATTGCCCCCGATGGTTAGAGCCATTGGTTGAGTTGGTGCTGCAAATGGCTGCCTCGGTTCTGTACTGGAAACAAATTCCTTGTGTGTAACATACTTGGCCAAATAAAGGTGATTATCCTTATTATCCTTCATGATATAATAAATAAGGATACTATTTTAGTTCCAGATACAGTATATTTAATGATTTCTTTGTTAATGTGGGATTCAAAGCAACGCAATCACTGAACCCAATAAAGATGGCGTTGATTGTAATATTATTAACATAAATACCCACACAATGTTTATTAGAGGAACTGAGGAAAAAGAAATAATTGATACAGTGACAGTAGACATGAGGAAGACGAGCACATCTCATCAGACACTGTTCATCTGGGGGCTCGAGGTGGAGAGGGTGAGCAGCTTCAAATACCTGGGCGTCCACATCAGCGAGGACTTCACCTGAACACTTAACACCACACAGCTGGTCAAGAAGGCCCAATGGCGGCTATATTTCCCGAGGAGGCTGAGGAGGTTTGGCATGTCGCCTAGGATCCTCAGCAACTTCTACAGCTGCATTGTTGAGAGCATCTTGACCAGCTGCATCACTGTCTGGTATGGCAGCACTACTGCTATGGACCACAAGCGCCTGCAGAGAGTGGTAAAGACTGTGGAGAAGATCACCAGGACTCCACTGCCCTCTCTGCAGAGTATCTACCAGCACAGAGTCTGCAGGAGAACTGCCTCATCCTCAAAACTTATGTTCAGTCTACTCCGTTGTTTTGTTTTGTTGCTGTCACTGCAGAAAAACCGCTTCACACAGATAGGATGTCGGAAATGGCAACAGGGTTTTCAGTGCTGTGGTGGCGATCTCGGTATTTTTAATCCAGAACACCGGCAGAGTTGTTGTCTCGAACATACTTTTAAGGCCGCCGTCATTTGCGATCTCCAGCAGTTGATCTTCTTCTTGCACAGACCTGCTGGATTCACCTGGTTTGTTGACAAATGGGTTGCGGATCCCTTCCTTGGCAGTTCGTGGGTCCTTTGTGGTTGGGAAGTAGCGCTCGAACTCTTTTAAAAGCAAAGACATGTGATCGTGCACCAGCTGGGAGAATGAAGACTCAGGCTCAGTCTCACCCAAAGTCTCATGTTTGAAACATGTCCAAAATGCCTCTGTTGACGCGCCGTCCCCACAAATCCAGTTTGGCTTTAAATGCAGCTACTTTATCTGCCAACTTGAAGACAGTTGTCATTTTCCCCTGAAGTGACAGATTGAGTTCATTGAGCAGGCTGAATATGTCCACAAGTAAGCCAGTTTTGGCGCTCAAGTGACCGAGATGTAACCGAGAGAATGCGGTCATTTTTCAAAATAAAAGATCGTTCATACTCAGATAATAAATAAAACGGAAATAATTAATAATTTCTTGTACGGCCCGGTACCAATTGATCCACGGACCGGTACCGGTCCGCGGCCCGGGGGTTGGGGACCACTGTTCTAGACTGAAAAACTTTTTCTTTCCGACTGCCATCAGGCTCCTAAACAGCTAACAGGGGTTTACAATCAGGGATTACTTCATGTTCACCTGTGTACATGCTCAGTTGCACATACATTATCTGTACATGCATAATTTCAAACTCACTGCTGACTGTTGCACATACAGCTTCGATGTAGCATAAATGATCTCTTATTGTGTTCTCATTACTGCTGACTATTGCAGCTACTGCTCTGATGCAGAATACATTATCTCTCATTGTGTTCTCATTATATTTTTTCTATATACTTTTATTATATTTCTTTTCACTCACTGGTTGAAGTGCCTATAGATCTTTATGTCATTTAGCTACTTTATATTTCACTTGTGTTGTTTGGCATTCAGTGTGGACAGCAAAGGAAGAATTTCATTGTGCAGGGACATGCATTTCCATACTGTGCATGTGACAGTAAACACTTTGAATCTTGAATCTTTGAAATCAAATAAAAAAAAATTCCTGATTGGAATGGACTTGATGTGTTTTATTAAAAATATTATTGATTAAATTGTGAAACCAAAGACCCATATTTATAATATGTCTTTTTCAATTGGAAAATGTCCTAATAAAAGGGAAATAGCAATGGTTATTCTAGTATGCAAAGCTGGAGGTAAACATGTTTTAACAAATTATAGACCAGTTTTCTTGCTGTCACAGTTCTCCAAAATATTGGAAAACTATTTGTTTGAATATTAAGCGATTTTAAGATAACATTCTCTGTGAACAACAATATGGTTTTATTAAAACAGGACCATTTCATTAGCATGAATAGATTTTATAGAAGAAATATCAAATGCCATAAAAAGTCATACTACACAGTGGGAATTTTCCTTGATCTACAAAAAGCATTTGATACCATTGAATATAAATTGTAATTAATAAAATTTGTAAGGTATGGCATTAGAGGGATGGCCCATTGCTGGTTATGTAGTTACTTAGAAAACAGATATCAGTATATAAACATAAATAATTCAAATTCAAAACTTGTGAGGGTAACTTGTGGGGTTCCTCAAGGTTCTGTGCTTGGGCCATTGTTGTTCATTACCACCAGGAGGTTATGTTTTTTGTTCCATGTGTCCATGTGCTCGTTAGCAAGATTGGCAACAGCAGGTAGGGTCTCTTGATGGTGGTGGGTCGAGGCAGGCAGAGGCAGTTTGAAGCAAGCTGAGAACTGTGAGAACTGGCCACACAGCTGGGGAAACTGGAGATTCAGAGGCTCACAGGGAAGGCAATGGAGACAGGTGGGGACCAGTGTGGCTAGCCATTCATTCAGGAACACACAGCAGAAAACAACTAGAACAGGTAACACAGCTAGGGTAGCTGGGAGCCAGAAACTCACAGGTCAGGTGCCGAGAAAAGGTGGATAACAGCACTGCTGGCCGGACGGGGACAGGAAAACATGGCCAGTGCAGCTGGAGGTTCCGCAGCTTACAATTAAGGTGGCTGTGGCAGGAACACCATAGTGAGGGAGGATGAATGCTGCTCAGGAACCAGAAACAATGTCGAGTAGCAAGCAATCTCTTTGTCAGAATGAGATGCAAGGCCAAAATGTTTGGGAATACACCTCAACAGACTGGCAACCAGGAAGGCACTGCTGGCTGATTATGTTTAAATTTGGCATGTTTTACATCAGATGCTCTTCTTGACACAACCCTCTCTCTTTATCTGGGCTTGGGACCAGCACAGAAGTCACTGGCTTGAAACCCCTGTGGCTAGATTCGTTTTCATCTAGAAATAATATTTTTAATTGTATTTATTGCTTGCTTTTTACATTTTCATGTCTGCTTTTTTCTTCTCAGGTTTCATCAGTTTAACAAGCAACACAATAGTGCTGCTAATGTTTTTAAAGTTCAAGGACCTCCGCACGGCCACCAACTTCATTATAATCAACCTAGCTTTTACTGACATTGGAGTGGCTGCTATAGGCTATCCCATGTCAGCTGCCTCAGACATCCATGGGAGTTGGAAATTTGGCTACACTGGTTGTCAGGTAGGTCAGCCCATTGCACAAGGGGGATTTGTTTTTTTTTCTATAAAACTGTAAGATCTAGACCTTACCTAGTAATGTGCCCTGAGATAATTTTTGTGAAATGGTGCTATACAACTAAAACTGAATTAAATTAAACTGAATTCCCAGGGCATCCAATAATGACAATATCTCAAGTTCCTTTTGAATCTTATACAGACAAAATTGGGTAGGGGAGCGCAGGGTACAGCCTAATGTGGGACAAATCGTAGCAACGGTCTAGTAGTGTATGCTTCCAGTCACATTACCATAGTTGCTAGCCATGCTCTCCTGCAAAAATTCAGAAAGATCTGTCTCTTTTGAGGGAATAGGTGCCAGAGCGGAAAAGTATTTTTTTTTATTCTTTACAGGTATTTTTCAGTTAGTAATGTGTATGTGTAAATCACAACATCCAACCTTATATTATTTTAATCACCATCTTGTTCCCTACAGCTTTGTACCATTTTTGAAATATCTGACAAGCCCACAGCAAGCGCTAGCTAGTCTGAAGTTCAGACTCCAAGGTTTGGGTCGGTTTTAACACTGAACTACAACTAGCCCCGCTTATGTAAACAATGACAAGAAGCCATTTCTTCAGAAACAATCCATGATTATTTGTGTGTATATTTGTCTATTTTTTTAATTTGTCTTCAACCTTACCCTCCACTAACAAACACCTATATGTTATGTATACACATACATAAACACAAACATCAACTTCACATTTTCATTTAAGCATAAGCATAAACTTTATTGACAGGTATCTCAAAAATACAAGGAATTTGATTCCAGCCCAGTGGCCCCCGATGTGCACAAAATAAAAACAAAATAAATAAATAAAACATATGTACAAGTTAAAAGAGCAACATAGACTAGCTGTTCATCAATGTAATAACTCGGGGGAAGAAACTGTTTCTGTGTCTGGTTGATTTGGCGTCCATTGACCTGTAGTGCTGTCCAGTAGGGGGGGAGTTCAAAGAGTTTGTGTCCAGGGTGTGAGGGGTCTGCAGAAATTTTCTCTGCCCTCCTTTTGACCTGTAAGATGTACAAGTCCTCCATGGAGGGCAGTCTGGCACCGGTGATTTTCTCTGCCGTTCTGACTGTCCTCTGGAGTCTGTTCCTGTCCTGTGTTTGGTTGCTGAGCCAAACCAGACAGTGATGGAAGTGCAAAGAAAAGACTTGATGATTCCCCTATTGAACTCAATCAACAGCTCCTGAGGCAGGTTGAACTTCCTGAGCTGAAGAAAGGAAGTACATCCTCTACTGCGCCTTTTTAATGATGGCACAGATTTTGATTGTCCACTTCAAGTCCCAAGAGATTGTGGAGCCCAGGAACTTGTAGGACTCCACAACTGAAACAGTGCTGCTGAGTATAGTAATTGGAGATATTGTGGGGGAGCTCCTCCTAAAATCCACTATCATCTCCATTGTCTTCCGTGTGTTCAGCTCCAGGTTGTTATGAACACATCACAGGGCCAGCTGTTCAACCTTTGTAGGCTGACTCGTCACCGTCTTGAATGAGGCCGATGATTGTTATGTCGTCTGCAAACTTCATGACTTTTACAGAGGGGTCTCCTGAGGTGCAATCATTAGTATAGAGGGAGAAGAACAGCAGGGAGAGCACACATCCCTGGGGGGCACCTGTGCTGATAGTCCGGGTGCTGGATGCGGTTTTCCCCAGCTTTCCTGCTGCTTCCTGTCCATCAGAAAGCTGATGATCCACTGACAGGTGGGGGCAGGCACAGTGAGCTGGGTAAGTTTGCAGTACAGGATGTCTAGGATGATGGTGTTAGCTCAGGTCCCTGGTGAGTCAAGGTGTTGCAGGGTGTAGTGCAGTGCCATGTTGACTGCATCATCCACTGACCTATTTGTTCAGTAAGCAAACTACAGGGAATCTAGCTGGGGGCCTGTGATTGCCTTCAGGCGGGCCAGTACCAGTCTCTCAAAAACACTTCATGACTACAGATGTCAGGGTGATAGGTCTGTAGCCACTGAGTTCCCTGATGGAGGGTTTCTTGGGAACTGGGATGATGGTGGAGCATTTAAAACAGGAGGGAACTACACAAAGTTCCAGTGATCTATTGAAGATTTGCGTGAAGATGAGAGCCAACTGGTCAGCACAGACTTTCAGGCAGGAGGGGGGTCACACTATCTGGGCCTGGCGCCTTACTGATCCTTTGTTTCCTAAAAAGGAGACACACATCTCTTTCACATATCCTCAGAGGTGGTTGGCTGATGGGGGGAGATGTAGCTCTAGAGGAAGCAACTGCTGGTTGTGGGTCCAAGATGAGGTGAGAGAGGGGTGTAGAGTTTTGCCTTTCAAAACTGCAATAGAACTCATTCAGCGCGTCAGCCAGCTGATGGCTCTCTACAGCAGGGTGGGGAGGTCTCCTGTACCCAGTGATGTTCTGTAGGTTCCTCCACACTGACAATGGTTCGTTGGCCCAACACTGATTTTCAGCCTTTCCAAATAGCTCCTCTTTGCTACTCTGATCTCCTTTGTCAGTGTGTTTCTAGTCTGGTCATACAGGGTCCTGTCCCCACTGGAGCTGTTTGAGCTTCACTGTGAACCAACGTTTATTGTTATTGTATGTGCAGAGAGTTTTAATGGGCACACACATGTCCTGACAGAAGCTAATATATGATGTCACCATGTCAGTATACTCATCCAGGACTGTAGCTGCAGCCTCAAAGACACCCCAGTTTGTACAGTCAAAGCAGGCCTGTAGCTTTGACTTAGCCTCTTCAGTCCATATTTTCACCTTTTTGACCACAGGCTTTGCAGCTTTAGGTTTCTGCCTATAAGTGGGGATGAGGTGGATCATGCAGTGGTCCAAAAGCCCAAGAGCTGCACAGGGAACAGAGCGATTACTGTGTAACATTGGTCCAGCGTGTTTTTGTCCCTGGTAGGACAACTGACATGTTGTCTGTATTTGGGCAATTTGTGAGTAAGGTTTGCACTGTTAAAATCACCCAAAATAATAAGCAGGGAGTCTGGGTGTTTCTCTTCCATACTTATTATCTGGTTGGCTAGGAGTTGCAATGCATTCCTAACACAGGCCTGTGGAGAAATATAAGTACCAACCAGGATAAACGAGGAAAATTCTCTAGGAGAAAAAAAGATTTACAGTTAATGAATAATGTGTCTAAGTCTGAGTTACAAGTTCTCTCCAGCACTGTAATGTCCCTACACCAACCTCCATTAATGTAAAAACAGATGCCTCTTCATCTCTTTTTTCCAGACAGTTCCTTCACTTGATGTGCTCTGTAGGTTTGAACTCCTGGCAGCTGAACAGCCTCGTCAGGGAGTCATTGAGCCACGTTCCCACAACGCATAATGCCACAGAATGTGAAAAATCTGAGTTAGTCTGATTGACGAGCAGCAGTTAATCCATTTTATTAGCTAGGGAACAAAGATTAGCTAGATGTATTGCCAGGAGTGGCGTTTGGTACGCCCACAGTTGCAGCCTTACAAGGGTGCCAGCCCTTCTCCCCTCCGGCATCTCCTCTTCTCCTCCTCCCCCTCATTCCTCTTATCTTATCTCCCTCTTCAGAATATACTGTATGCTAATTTTATATTTTAAAAAAACTTTAAAAAAATTAATTAATTTATTTTTAACTTCACAAAAGCAGACATATTTAACAAACAATTAAACTTAAATTAGTATCATGGAATATGTGAGGCTTCCGGACCCAGGCCAAAATCATTAAATTAAAATCATTAACCATTTGATGAAATTAAAGGCATATATTTGTTTCTTACAGGAAAATCCTAACAAATCCTGAACTACAAAACCTCACATTTAAACATTTTAAAAAAACTATTCTCATCAACTTACAATAGCAGGCAGTGAGGTGTCTCAATTCTAAAAAAAAAACATCTCACTGGTCCATAACACATCCATCATTGACCCAGAAGGAAGATTTATCATCGTTAATGTTTTGATTAACCACACAACATACACACTTATCAATATCTACAACCCTAATAATGATTACCTGTTTTTTTTTGTATAACCTTTTGTTCCTTTCTGCATGACATTAAAAACATTATTATTGCTGGAGACTTCAGTACTGTAAACCCAAAAAATGATTACTCAAATTCCTCCAGCAATACAAGAAACTGACATTCTACACACTGTAAACCTGGATAAGTTGAATTTACTTAAAAATTTTGAGGAAACCAGTTGCCTTGAAAATATAAAGCAATGTGCAATGAAAACCTGAGGGGCTAGACTTGTTATTTTAAGTTCAATACACTAAATGCCAAGTTTATTCAACTTTATAATTGCCTTTATAATTTGTAATATCAAATTACAAATTTTAATTTATTTCACTACTTTGGGACTGTGTGTGGTCGTGTGGAGGAAGGCGCAGTGACCACCAGTTGGAGCTACTTGAAAGGGAGTGATGCTTCCACTACTTGGTGGGACTTAACGGTAAGTTTAAAAAACATGTTGCATATCAATTGCTTTACCCAGTTGCTTCAATTAATATCTTAATCTAAAACAAGTAAAATTTTATTTAACTGTCAGTTCTTCATTTGATATGAAGAACCTAGAACTGCACTTACTGGAAGCAATCTGTACCAAAATCAGTACAAAGACAGGCAATACAGAGCAGGTAGGTGGAACTGGAACAGAGTGGAGCCAGTAGGCCAAGCTGAAGTGAGATGGCTGGCAGCACTGGCATGAGTCCAGAAGAAGGCAGGTGACCTGGGCTGATACTGGTAAGCAAGCAGCACTGGAGTAAGGTTGAAGTGGAACAAGCAAGCTGAGCAGAGGCTGACAAGCTGACAGTGCTGGGGTGAGGCTGGAGCAGAGCAGGTAAGCTGGGTTGGAGTGAGGCAGGGTTGTGCTGATCTGGTGAGGCAAAAAAAGAGCCTGACTGGCAAAGCAGGGTAGTGCTGGTCAGACTAAGAGGTGTTGCGCTGAGCAGGAAGAGTTGAGTAGTGTTAACTGGCAGAGTGGAGTAGGAGAAGAGCTGGCTTGGTGATGCAGAAGTGAAAACATCTCCCTCTACCCTCCGGGATATAGGAACAGGAGCAGTGGCACCACGAAACACAGGAACACAAGTGATGGTGCCATCAAGGGCCCTCCAAGAGACTGTAATTGGAATGGTGGCACTGTTGTCCACCCACAGAAGCACAGGAACAGGAGTGGTGTTGTCACCGGTGAACCACTAGGATTCTGGAACTGGAGCAGCGATGTCACCAATGATCCACCAAGGCACCAGGAGTGAGGTGGTGTCGAACCACTGAAGTACAGGGACTGGAGGAGTGATGTTGTTGTCGACTGACCCAGGAACAGGGATGGTGGAGACATCGACCCACTGAAGAACTAGATTGGTGGTGGCATCGAGTTGTGGAGGAGCATGAATGAAGGTAGTGTCAACCCAATCAGAAACAGGGATGATGGTGGCATCGACCCTCCAGGGAGCAGGAACATTGGACAATTCTTCATGGACCCAACCGGGGACAGAGTAGGTGAGGCTTTGAGGCGACAGGATTGGAGACGGTGTTGATGTTCCAGCTGACCCACTTGGGAACTGGAACAAAAGAAACCTCAGCTTCCAAGCTGAGGGGTTGTTTGGTGAAACCTAGAACAAATGGAGGCGACAGTGCGGTGGGTAGAGCAGTCATCTCTCAACCATAAGGTTGAAGGTTCAGATCTCGGTGCCTGCAGTCCACGTGTCAAAGTGTCCTTGGGCAAGACACTGAACTTCCCCTGTTGCCCCCGATGGTTAGAGTCATCAGTTGAGTTGGCGCCGCAGATGGCTGCCATCGGTTCTGTACCAGAAACAAATTCCTTGTGTGTAATATACTTGGCCAATAAAGGTGATTATCCAAATGCCATGTGCAGATCTATAACATAGGTGAGGCAGTGAATGATCAGCTCAGAGCACAGTACCTGTTTGTTTTGACTGCTTGAGGCCAGTGTGTCTGCCGCATGTGATGTGATGCCGGTTAACAAGAGGATTAACGATTCACCTGAATTTATTTCACTACTTTGGGACTGTGTGTGGTCGTGCAGAGGAAGAAGCAGTTGGATTTACCGACCTTGGAGCTACTTGATGTTTCCACTACTTGGTGGGACTTAACGGTAAGTTTAAAAAACATGTTGCATGTATGTTAATGCCTTGTTTCTGTAATGTTATAGAGAATTGTTGTAAGGCTGGAGAAGTTACTATGTCTGCATTATGGCAGTTAAAATATTGGGTTTCTCAACTACCCACTTTTTTAAGAGTGTTACACATATCTTTTTATCAGTACATATACAATTGTTTACCTATCTATGGACGAGAAATTCATATTAATTAATGTTGTTGCAGTTCGTTGTGCTGTTCAGTTTTGAGGCAACACCAGCAACAGGAGCTGTGTATGTTCACAAACTGTCCTCTCATTTTAAAGAAGAGGCTCTCTGATTTTATCATTCTGAAACAATTACAGACTATTTAGAGTTATGAGCAGTGCCAAGCTAATCTAGAGGTACCCAAGATTAAACATTAAATGGCTGGAAATGAGCAAAATGAGCAGCCATGGGCTCTTTAAAAGACCAGTGAAAAAAACAACACAAAGGCTGAGTCAACTTTTTTTAATTTTAAATGGTTGCCAGTGTGATTTCTATATTACCAGTGTAGTGGTTAAAACAAACAGTATCTGTACAGTAGTTGATCCGTTGTTAACATATTCCTGATTAACATGTGTCATGGGATAATGTCTCTTAGAATAGATACTAAAATAGACTTCTAGTGTTAGGATAGGAAAATGCTTGTGTAACTAGGAAAGGTCAGAAAAGGTAAGCTGAAAAAGCTGGCATCCGAGACATCAACAAACAAAAAGCTTGTAGTGAGAAAGACTACAAAGATATCAAGAAGAACTCTAAATATGAAGTGTGCTAATAGGGCCTGGCGTACACAACAGGCAGGTTTGAGAGCAATCTACAATCTGGCAACTAGGATGAGCTTTGGGGGGTCTCATTTGCATGAAGGCTGATAAGTCAATAAGGAGAAGGGAGGAGACACTCAGATAGCACCAGGAACACATATCAAGGGGGAGACAGGACTGGATCTGAAAGTAAAAAGGTGACACACTTAAAGTGAGTAAACAGGAAGTAACACCAAAAATAAAGCAATGAACATAGAGAAACAGTGACAGTAGGTCCGGACTTTATTGGTCAGAATTTGTTTGACCAGGTGATATGAGGATGCAACTAAACAGAAACTTGAATAAAACAAAAACAAAGACACCAGTCGTTAGACATGACTTTTATGAATGGAAGCTGATCTTCTTTTCTGACAATGGGATGCCAGTTTTCTCTTTTCCCTCTGTCCTTGTAGTTTCCACTTCCCCTCCCTCATAGAGGACAGGATGCCCACTTCTCCATCCTTCACTGGTACTGTGATGCTGGCTTCAGTTTTTTTTTACTACTATCCCTCCCGCTCAGCTTTTCCCCTCCCTCATCAGGTACTTGCTGCTATTTCCTTAGCCAGCACTGAGATGCCAGCTGCTGTCCCCTCCACACTGTCACTTCCTCATTCATCTGGCACCAGAATTTCCGCTCCACCCTACTTCACTGGCACCAGGATGCCTGCTTCCTCTATTACCTTTGCTCAATCTATTACCTCAATGGGCACCAGGATGCTGACCTCTGTCCCCTTCATCCTGCCTTTTCATCATTCATGAATGTTGCTTCCACTTCCCTCAGCAATAGTTTTCCAGGCTCCATGCCCCCTTTCCCTCTGCTCACCACCAACTTTACCCATATGCCTAGGAGGATGTTGGCCCCTTCTCCCACCAGCCCACTACTCAGAAAGAGAGGGACAGAGAGAGAGAGAGAGAGAGACAGAGACCTTCTTCAGGCCCACGGGTCTAACCCAGATAGCATCCGGCTTTCCTATGATATCGCCCTTCTGCTGGTTTGCTAGTTTTGGGGCATCTACAGCTGCTGTTGGTCCTCTTCAACTTGGCCTCCCAAACTGAAACATAACCTTGACCTTTAAGATGCTAACATTACATGCCAGTGCCCATTCCACTATTTTCAGTTTCATTCACATTGTCTGAATCCTACACACACCCTCTTTTCCTTATGTCTGATTCTTACACACACCCTCTTCTTCTTATGTCTCAAGTGCCAATCTACCGTTTGAGCTCTGAGTCACCATCATTCTTAAGAGGCATGAGAAACTTAAATTCTTTCTTCACTTTCCACTTATCCCAACTGGTCGATGCAGCTGGCCACCCACCACAGAGCCTGGTACTGTCAGAGGCTTCCTTCTTAATGGACGTTTTTTCCTCCTGCTGTTGCCAAGTGCTCACTCAAAGAGGATTTGTTGGGGTTTTCTCTACAATTGTAGGGTTCTAAGTAAAGTGCCTTTAGAGGACTATTGTGTTTTGCCTCCATATAAACAAGACTGAAATGAATTCATTTTATACAACCAGACTAACATAATCAATGTTATGATTCACGGGTGATACCATTCACAGCCAACAGTAGACAACCTCTTCCAGAGCCCATCCTTAGTAGTGTCATCCTCTTCCAATAAATTCATTTTGTTCCAGTTGATGGCATGGTCCTTGCTTATGAACTTGCTGTTATAGAAATTAATAAATCAAAAACACACCTTAGTGGTGCCAGCTCCGAATGTACTGTACTTGATCTATGACACACTAGCCAAACATCAGTAAACAGACACTGTGATTATTAAAGTGCTAAACAGAAGGAGGAAATAAAAATTTTAATGTTTCACGTTTTTGCTGTGTGTAACAAATGTGCTAATTTTAACCAGTACACCTCAACGCAACATCAGCTTCAGTTTCAATGAATTGTCCTTTTAGAATTGAAACTGAAATCAAATCAGGCCGTTATCACAGTCATAGTGCCATTATTATGAACAGTCTGTGTTTTTGTCTCCAGATCTATGCCGCTCTCAACATTTTCTTTGGTATGGCCAGTATTGGCCTGCTGACTGTGGTGGCCATTGATCGCTATCTCACCATCTGCAGGCCAGACATAGGTATCTATTTACTGCTGTTCTGCTATCCATGCAAATGTAAACTGACTACAGTATACACTAAGGTTGCCAGCTTTCTAACTTACCAAATAAGGAACAAAATGCGGCATGTCATGGTGCCACAATAGTGTGGGTATGATGTTATACAAATACAGTGTACATTCATATTCTTATTAATTTGGAAAGGCAAAAATGTGTATATTCCCTTTAGTGTGCAGCTTTACTAAAACTGTATCATTATGTATGGTTAACCATCAAAATAAATTATCAATGAAATAGCAATTTGGATTGCATTAATTATCCAATTATTTACTGTCCAGAAATGTACTTAAAAGGAATATTAAAGGAGCACATGTTGGTGAAGGCTTTTTAAAATATAAAAAGAAAATATAAAGAAAACAGTAAGAATCCACAGTCTGCCACAGTTATACTAAAAGTACTAGGTATCTACTTGTGCATGTTGCTCATATAATTGTTGAAGTTAAGTAATATTTAATGTTTTATCTAATTTGCATTCTGTTTTCTCAATATACTGTATGCTTTTTAATGTTTTATGTGCATTGTGTTACACACTTTGAATTGTCATTGCATATGAAAATGTCCTATATAAATAAACCTGCCTTGCTTTACCTTCTTCTTGGGGTAATGGCAGGTTAGCTACCCCACAGTGTCATTAATTTAGGGTAAGTAAAGAAAGTTTACATTATCAACATGTAGCTACATTTTATCCTATTTAAGTCCTGACTTAGTAATTTACAAATGTGTAGGTGAAGGAAAATTAGAATCAAAGGCATTCTGGTCCCATTTGCTGACAGTGGTAGCAGTCAGTATATGGAACAAGGGATGTCCTGTATGGGACATCCCAGCTAATATGGGACTGTTGGCAACCCTAGTTTACACTCAGTCGCCAGTTTGTTACGTGTAAATAGTTAAAACAAATTGCAGGCTGAGTGCTGCAATAAATCCTTTAGCACAATGTTTTAATATTCAGTTTTTGTTCGTACTGTTTTCATGAGGTATGATCAACTGTATGATCATATTTGAGGCTGCAGTTTGTGTTGCTGCTGAACTGTATTGCATTATACAGAGACCAGTTTCTATTACGTCTAGCTGAAATGCATGAATGATGTTGACAAAATAAAACAAACCCATCAGTATAATTAATAATGCAGTACAGTTCAACAGCAATAGGGCCTCCAAAATGGTCTAAAAACTTTATTTACAACTACCTGTAATGTTTTTTTCTCCTGTGTCTTTAAATAGCATAATGCTGAACAGTTTGCAGCTGCAAAATAAATATGAACCTGTTTAGATGTTACAAGCATTGGAAACTAATTAGTGCATGTCATCAACCCAGTCAAACAATCTTCTTTCTTTTTGATGTCTTCTTTCCTGATCTTCGTTGTGCATGTACATTTCTCTCTCCAGGGCAGAAAATGACAGTGCAAACATACAACCTTCTTATTCTGGCAGCCTGGCTGAATGCTGTGTTCTGGTCCTCCATGCCTATTGTGGGCTGGGCTGGTTATGCCCCTGACCCCACTGGAGCTACGTGCACCATCAACTGGAGACAGAATGATGCGTGAGTTAACAAAAACTGCAAATGTAATTGCATACTTGGCAGTAACTATAACATTCTCTTTCAAAATCCACTAAGAAAATGCATATATAATAATGACTAATAATAATGCTACTGTGATAACCTTGGATTGGGTTGTAACTAGGGGTGTGGCAAGATCTTCTGGTACCTCTATAAATTGCTACTACCACTTCAAACAGTATTAGTTTTAGTATATGTTTAAAGTTTTCTTGGTGACATTGTTCCTCCTGAATCCGAGGTTCGACTATCGGTCGAATTCTCCTCTCCAGTACCCTGGCATAGACTTTCCCGGGGAGGCTGAGGAGTGTGATCCCCCTATAGTTGGAACACCCCCTCC